GTAACTCAGTTTGACACCGCTAAACTCAGATAACGAATTAATCGAAAAAATTGTCTGAGGACAAAAGACAAAGCCCAATCAATTTGGACAGCCATATAAACACGTGAAACATGTAATCCAATAATTGTCAGCTTGTTTTTTTTTGGTGAATTCCAATAATTGTCACCTAATCCAACTAATCATTTACTGACAAATATCATACTTAACCTAAAACACCACTCATAATGAAACATAACCTAAAATAAGCTTTCACTGTTTCATACAGCACTAACTATATATAGGTGATTCCTGAAGAGAAGCATCTTCATACACATTTTCTCCAAAAAATTTAGAAAAACAACCAAAAGTTTTATTTGGTTTGGCTCTCTTAAAGACTTAAATTTTTCTTTTTGGGAGTTTTTGACTGTTTTGGGGAAAGGAAAATGGGGTCAAAGTTTCATGCTTTTATGTACCCATTGTTTGGTTTTGGTCATATGATTCCTTATCTACATCTAGCTAACAAAATAGCTGAGAAAGGTCATAGGGTCACTTTCTTGGTTCCCAAGAAAGCTCAGAAACAACTCGAACCTCTCAATCTGTTCCCAGCCAGCATTATCTTCTACCCTGTCACTCTTCCTCATGTCGATGGTCTCCCTGTTGGCGCAGCGACAACGTCAGATATCCCAAACTCGTCTCAGAGAGTCTTCTCTCAAGCTATGGATCTTTTACGCGATCAGATCGAAGCTAAGGTTCGTGCTTTAAAACCAGATCTGATTTTCTTCGATTTTGTTGACTGGGTTCCAGAAATGGGGAAAAAGTTAGGAGTCAAGAGTGTGAGTTACCAGATCGTATCGGCAGCTTGTATAGCTATGTTTCTTGCACCTAGTGCTGAATTAGGGTTTCCTACACCGGGTTATCCTTCACCAAAAGTGGCGTTACGTGGATACGACGCTAACCTATACTCTCACTTCACAAATACCCGCAAATTTCTTTTTGATCGAGTCACCAAAGGCCTTAAGAGTTGCGATGTCATTGCCATAAGGACGTGTGCAGAAATCGAAGGTAAATTATGCGGTTTCATTGAAAGAGAATGTCAGAGAAAGGTTCTTTTGTCCGGTCCAATGTTCCCTGAGGCGCAAGACAAGAGTAGTAAACAACTAGAAGGTCGATGGAATCATTGGTTGAATGGATTCGAACCAGGCTCGGTAGTGTTTTGTGCGTTTGGCACACATTTCTTTTTCGAAAAAGATCAATTTCAAGAACTCTGTTTAGGAATGGAGCTAACGGGTTTACCGTTTTTAATAGCGGTTATGCCGCCAAGAGGCTCATCAACGGTTCAAGAAGCGTTACCAGAAGGGTTCGAAGAGCGGGTTAAAGGGCGTGGAATCGTTACAGGAGAATGGGTGGAACAACCTTTGATATTGTCTCATCAATCAGTAGGTTGCTTTGTTAACCATTGTGGATCCGGTACATTGTGGGAATCTTTGGTTAGTGATTGCCAAAATGTGTTTATTCCGCAATTGGCTGATCAAGTTCTCGCCACAAGATTGTTCGCTGAAGATCTCGAGGTCTCTGTGAAGGTGCAGAGAGATGAAGTTACCGGATGGTTCTCAAAGGAGGGCTTGAGAGATGCGGTTAAATCCGTGATGGATAAAGATAGTGAGATTGGGAAGATAGTGAAGAGGAACCATACGAAGTTGAAAGAGACATTGCTTAGTCCTGGACTTTTGAGTGGTTATGCTGATAAGTTTGTTGAAGCATTGGAGAATGAAGTCAACAATACAAAATCGTTCTGAATTGATTTACTTTGTAAACTCTAAAATAAAATTTTATCTTTTGAAATGAAACTTATCAATCCCTTTTGAAATTTTTTTTTTATCTTTTGATTTGATAGACTTTTTTTTTTTCTTAATGTGTTAAATGATTTTGTAAAACAATTTGTAAAATGGAGAGAATATAGATTTCACATTCCATTTATTTCTAACAGATGTGGAAAGATCAAAAATTACAAAATAAATTGGATATAAAGAAGAAAAAGAAACAGTTACAAGGTACAAATTATAAACAGAGACAAAAATATTCAGAACAATCCCAAGGCAGAAGCAGCTTGAGACTTCCAATGTCTAGCTTTTTCAAACCCATTTGTAAAATTCTCAAAATCATCAATCGTCTGATCAATCTCTTCTTGTGTGTTCATAACAAAAGGACCAAACTGAACCATTGGTTCACCTATAGGCTCACCACCCACAAGGATAAACCGAAGTGGCAAACCGGAATCAGAACCGTTCCAAGCCTCTAACCGTTCACCACTTAGGCCTAGTATCAGCAAGTGATGCGCGGCAGCGGTTGAATGTTGTGACTTTGCTTCCCCAAAATGTCCTTGGCCTTGAAGAACATATACAAACGCGTTCCAATGAAGCGGAATCAGCTGAGAGATCCGAGAACCCGGGGAGAGAGTGAAGTCTAAATACATTGTTGGTGTTCTTGTACAAATCTTTGACTTA